GGAAATGTCTATAGCAGTGACGGTGAACTTTTTAGCGCTTGCAATGATACAAACAACCTGCTGTGGGACGTGTGCTGTACGTTTGCCACCATTGATACACACTGAGCTGGGCTCGGTACAGGCTTGTAAGGTACTCAGGAGGTGAGGCAGCAGGATTCCAAGTTTGAGGTCAGCACCTAGCAGCTTAGTGAGACCCTGTCCCCACCCCCCAAAATGAAGGGAAGACTTCAAGAAAATGTGTTTACTGTATATGATCATTAAGAGAAAGTCATATGGATATGGAAAGTGTCATATGTATATGGATTTCATGTCATATACTTTAAATATATCCCAAAAAAGAGTGTGTTTGTGTTAAACACTTGCACAGTATTACTAAATCCTTAACAGATGTTAAGTATTGTCTCACAGACAAGGAAGTGAGGCTCAGAGAGGCTATGGACTTCCCTGCATCACATAGCTTCCAAGTGATGGAGCTGGCTTTGCACTCAGGTTGATTCAAGTTTAGAGACCACACTACCACCTTCTGGTGGTGCCGCCCTCCTCTGCCACCTCCAGTGGGTTCAGAGGGGCTGCATGCCAGGTTCCAGATGGGTCAGTGCCAGCTTCCCATGGTGCCTTTCCCAGGCAGAGATCTCTTCCGTGCTTTGAGCTCCTCCCCATAAATATCTATTTCTTCCACCACTGAATCATGAGGTGACTGGTTATAAACAGTTGGCTTTGGTCCTTTATCTTAGGACTCTTCCTCCAGGTAAGAGTGGCACGGTTGCACCTGGGAGAGACCTGAAAGCTGGCACAAGCACTCATGGAGCTCTGTGGATGGGCAGAGTGGTGGCAACACTTCAGTAGCAGGGGAAGAGGCCAGCTTGATGGGCAGTGCCAGCTCTGCCGCACCCCGCACCGTGGACTGTGGGTCAGCAGGAGTTGGTACGGTCCCGGTTGGTATGTGGCCCTGCTTCTCCCTGTTCCTTTCCTGCCTCTTCTTCCTGGCCACCCAAGGTCCTCCCTTGGAGCTGGCACCTAAGCACTCAGGCAGGGCACTGTGCAGGCTGCTTCTGTGGGAAGCAGAATCACAGCGGGGTTTAGGGGATCTGATAAGTAACTGGAGCTGCTGCCAGGGTCACCAGGGGTCTGGGCACCTCCATGCGTGCAGGATGATAGAAGCTAGATGCTACCTGGTTTGCAAGAGGTCTTGTGAGAGTTTGGCCAGGCCAGGACTCCGTTCCAACCCCACCAGCCGTGCAAGCACCGGGGAGCTGGCTGTGTGATCACACGCTGACATGCTTGCTGGCAGAAAAGTGAGCCTGTGCCGCCAATCACGTGTCCACCTCTGACTGAGAGTGGGCATGTCAGGCACGGGGCTAAGCCTCTTATGCACATTTTCTCAATCCTTACGAACCTGGGCAGAAGACAAACTACCATCATTTCTAATGAGGCACTGCAGAGCGGGTTGCTCAAGAGGGCCACTTCCTCCATGCCTGCAGAGCTGCCATGCGGCACAGTCAGGATTCAAAACCGCATCTGCCTGTCTCTAAAATGCAGCCCAAGTTCTCCACAGAGCTGGCAGAGGCTAAGCCTTGGGCTGCTCATTTGTACAGGAGCCCTGTGCTCTCACGGCTTGTACTTTTGGAAAACTTACACACTGGAAGAAATGCAAATTTCTTTCTGCAGATGTTTTCTAGTGTGTTAAAACTACAGCATTCCTTTGCTCAAACTGGCCACAGTGCTGGGTAGAGCTGGGCACTGGCGGACCAGCAAAGAGGACTTTGAGCTGGGGACATTGAGCTTGAGTCTACTGGGAAGTGTTTGTGGGGCTCAGTGTCTTCTGGGACTGTTGTCACCAGCTGTCCCAATGGAGGAACGGCTTCCAGAACATTCTGCTCCCTGTCCCCACCTACCGTGTCCTGACACAGATGCATAGAGCCACCTCCTGGATGGCACGTGTGTGTGTGTGTGTGTGTGTGTGTGTGTGTGTGTGTATGTGTGTGGCTTGGGTCTCTGGCACAGGAAGTATGTGGAAAATGGGGAAGAAACAAGAAAAAAACCCTTAGTAATCAACAGTAAAGCTTTCTGTTCTCGCCATGGATAATGACCATGTTGGGCAGTTAATCAAATTCTGTTATTTTTCTACATTTCATTATGGCTTCTCTTTGTCAGCTTCTTAAAATTTGTAAATAATAAGGATTTCTTTCCACATTCCAAATAGCTACTTTTGCAGTTAATTTTGTGCTTATAGTATTTTTTATCTCCTCTTCGCCTCCCTGCCTTCCTCCCTTCCTTTCTCTCCCTTTCCCCTTTCATGCTAGGGATAGAACCCAGGTCTCATGCATGCTAGACAAATGGTCTACCACTGGGCCACACTCTGGTCTCTGTGTCCTTTCTAGAAAGGGGCTCCCTTAGCCCCAAACCTGGATGCTAGGTTAAACTCACCCCTTAGCCATAGCAATATTTTGCCTGCACCTGTGAAGTTCACTGGTCCTGAAACGCAGCTCTGAGGTTCACAGGGGCCAGCTCTCCAGGTGTCCTGCTAAGAGGGGGTGACAGCAGGCCCCCCCTGCAGTCTGCAGCAGGACAGAGTCTGTTCACTCTTTGTAATGCGTGGCTGCTTTCCTCACAGCCCCACCCAAACTTGAATTTGCTGATGGGATTTCCTTGGAAATCTCAGTCCAAAGGGCAGCCCCAAACCCTGCCTTTGAGGCCAGCACTCTGCCGCTGATCTGTGTCCCCGGCCCTCAAAAGGTAACTGACGCTGTCTTAGAGTGAGGACAGAGACAGGAGTGGAAGTTCGGGATGGGGCTGCTGCCTGCCTCCCACAGCACCTGTGTGGCGGACGCAGAGCAGCGCTGAAGGAGGTGGCCCTCTTGGAGCCTTCTGTGTCCTCTGTGACCCCAGGCTACCAGACGCCTCTGTTCTGATCCCAGGGAGCCGGGAGGCTGTAGGATTAGAGCGGCTCTCCTCCAAGAACTTGTCTCCTTCGTGGGTTCCACTTCTCCACCTGGTGTCTGGACTGCAAACTACAGGAGATGACACCGCAGAGACTACAGCAGTGGCAAGTGACTCAAGCAGCCAGCTCCAGGAAGCCGCCTCTCTGTGGCTCCTGCAGCTACCAGGGCTCTAGCTGGGCAGCGGCCTGGGGGTATCTTCTCTGGGGCCAGCTCCCAGAGGAAGCCGCTCCCTCTGGCTTCTAGGCTAGGTGGAGGGAGGAGAATGACATGCCCACCAATGTCAGCATTAGAGAAAATCATCATGCCTGAGAGATAGCATGGTCTCCTTTGGGATTTTAAAGGGCAGAGAGGCGGGAGGAGGTAATTAGTCACAGGTCTCAGGTCTCGGAGCTTGGCCAGTCTACCCTGGGGTCTGCCTCAGATTTATCTGTCTCCAGTTTATGAGCACCCCTCAATCTATCTCCATTCTGGATGGATAGCTCATTTAGGCATGAACATGTGCACACAGCCCATGCTACCCACCTTCCCATGTGACCAGGCACATCCAGTCACTTCCTGTGCACCTGAAGGAGCTCGTGCGCAGTACACACACACAACAGCAAGCACATTTGGGATAATGCCGTGGCTGAGCTGTGTCCTGTCACAGTCTTTATGTCCAAGTCCTAATCCCCAGGGTATCAGAATGTGATTGGGCTTGGAGACAGGATCTCTAAAGGGATGATTAGTCACAGCCAGGCCACGTGGGTGGGTCCTCGGCCAACATGACTTTGTCTTCCTATGAGAAGATCAGGACAAAAACAAGTCCAGGAGATGGCTGTGGAGGACACATGGAGAAGACCACTGACAGGACAGGGAGAGGGGCTGCAGAAGAACCGAACAGCCCCCAACACCTTATCTCAGAAGTCCACCCTCCACAACAGTGAGAAAATACATCTCAGGTTGTTCAAGCCGTTGTCGGTGGTGGTCGGTCAGGGCAGACCTAGCAGACTACAGCAAAGAATGACAGCAACTTCACCGCATCAGACACCAACAAGTAGGAGAAGGGCACCTTCCGCCTGTGTCACCTGGCGGGGACACACTGGGTGCTGGGGACTGCACATGGAGACGCTGCAACTAGCAGGGCAGAGCCAGGTCATGAGCCACACGGTCCTGCCTAGCTCCTCCGGAGGCACCCAGCACCCTCTGGCGGGTCCCCTGCTGACCACCACCCGGATCTTGCTGGGGTTTCCAGCCTTGCGGTCTTCTCTCCCTCCACAAGATCCTCATCCTGTTCCCTTGTGGAGGGAACAGGAAAGCAAATGAATGGCCGCGAGCTTTATTTTTATTTTTATTATTTTTTGTGCTGGAGCAGTAAACCCAGGGCCTTGTACAGGCTGGTGGTCACTTTTAAAGAAAATATGGGACAAGGCCTAGATTTGGAGGAGCTGGAGATTGGAGAAAAGGGTAAGACCTGCTTCGCTTAATGGGCTAGGGACACAGGGTTGCTATAACAGCAAGGAGTGAGAGCCGGTCCCAGGAGAAGGAAGCCCACAGGGGGCGAGGACGAGCTTCAAGGGCATCACAGCCAGTAGACTGCTCTAGACACTTGGGTCTTCTGTTACGGTCAGCAGGGATGACGCTCGGGTCATTGGTTGAATGCAGTCAGACATGTTCTGTTGGGAATAGCAAATGTGAGGCACAGCAGTCTGTTTCCTCCTCTCCACAAACACTGTCCAGCAGAGCGCCTTTTCCCACTGCTCTCCAAAGCAGCCACTACCGATGAGTTGGAGTTAATATTTGAGATAGAAATGTGGTATCTCTCCTTGCTCCAGGGCACAGGAACACAGCATGTGGCTACCTTCCCCCCCCACCCCAGTTCTCCTCCCTGTGGTGCTGGCTAGAACTGGAAGGTGTCCTGTGAGATCAAAGCACAGCAGGAGCCCAGCCAGCAGCCACACCGGCAACTCAAGGCACCCGAGAAACAGGTTTTCCTCTGCCCAAAGACATAAAAATGTGCTCATTTTTAAAGATTTGGAATGTTTGGAAGAGAAGTCAATCACTCAACAATCTATTTGAATATAATGGAGCAAAAAAAGTTCTTTTATTAATCTGATGTACATTAAATATATCTGTAGCTGTTACATGGATGTTGGTTGCCTGGCATATAAATGTATACACACTTCCACAGGTGATAGATTGATGCTGTACATAAGCCATCCCACGCGGAGCATGTCCTTTCATGAGGATACGCATGGCTGCCTCAGGATATTTGTGAAAACACTCTGGGGTCCAACATTTTGGCAATCAAAATCAGACACAGGGGCGCATACCAGAAAGATGAGTTCACAGCAGGATCAACTGTACGTAAGATGAAAACTCCAGAAACCTGAAAAGGAATTTACTGAGCTCCACACATGCAGCACATATATACAGTACAGTAGGGCTAGCAGGGAACACACAGAGCAGGACAGCTTACACAGCACGAAAAACAGGAAAGAAAGGGACACAAGGCCATACACCCAGGCAGGAAGTCCAGGACAGGACCCCTGCCAAGATCTCATCACGAATGAGGGTGGAGTGAACGTTTCGTGCGTCTCCCAAGCGGACGCACACCTGAAACTCTTCTGGGACTTCGTTTACAGTACCTAGACATTCACAAAGGACATATGCTCTGCTCAGTGTGTTCCTGGCTCAGCGGGAGGATACACAAACACGTTTTGGAAAGTACATGTCAAGAAGAAACATTTCTCTTTTAACTGATTTAGATTCAGAATCATAAATATGTAGCAATGGCGGTGGCAGAAATGAAATGAAGCCAATCTGTCAAGTTCTACCTAGGCAGGCCTGGTGAATGTCACAGTCGAGGAAAGAGTTTCCTTTTTGGATAAACTACTTGGGCCTCAGAGGGAGACACTTCGTAACCTAGAACTAGTTTAATTTGCTTTGCACAGCATAAAACAGCCAATTCACTGTGCATTCTTGCTCCAGGAGCAACACCTAAAGACAGCAGGGGTTCTCTGTCCTATGGGTCTTGTTCTGGGTGTGTGCACGAGAATGCAGACAGGGCCCCTCTGTGTACAGACAGACGGAGGCTGAGTTGCTGTGTCTCTCCTTCCCTGGGCTGTGAGGCAGTGCCGAGTCACGAGCTGTGAGGCTTGAGTCCATGCAGGCTGGGTGTGTGCTGGGAGGGCAACACCCCTTCGGGGTCTTAGGTGGTGAGATCCTGGTGAACATCCAGCAGCCTTGGGGAGGGCTGGGGAAGGAGAAATCTGGTCTCCATGGTGGAAAGCTCCCACAGCTGGGTGAGCTCAAGCTAAAACGCGGGTGTCTCAGAACTTGGCACTGGGCGAGGCATGCACAGTATCTACAGCGCTTCTTCCTCACAGACGTAGCATGAATGTATCACCTCCAGGCATAGGTAACAGCCAAAGGCAGCAAAGTAAGTAGAAAGTGATGTGTTTTGAGTGTATTTTAACTGGTGCTTTCAATAATGGCTATGGTTCTTAACCAACTCTGAAAGGTCGCCGGCCAAGGCTAAACCCTGTCTGAGGTGGAACCAGGGGCTTCTGGCTGCTTTCTCCTCCTATGTGTGGCCACATGTGGTTCTCAGGCCGGTGTTAATGTGGAAGGTCAGGCCAAGAGCCAGTGACCTCTGTGCCCCCAGCACCAAGTCGGGTCCTCTGCAGACCTGGAGAGGTAGGGGCTGTCTATCCCCATGGGTCAGTGAGTGCCGGCGCCTGGCTGGGGATGGCCCCCTCTTTTGGAAATTGAAGGCTGGGCTGACCCTGATTCCTGCTGTTCAGGACACAGGCTTGGGAAGCGGGTGGAAGTCCAGCTGTGGGACAGGAGCTCTGTCAGATCCAGCCAGTCCATGGCTCATGTTCCCCACGTTCGCTATTGTGCCTCTATGACAGGCAGAGATGGGCACCCTGCTTTGTCCCCAGTGCCCTAGGAAAGCTCGGCCTTGCTACAGTCATGAGGTGACGCGAGGGGAAAGGAGGAGGAAGAATGCGCAGGAAAGGAAGAAAGGAGTGTGTAGTGCTGGAGGATAGAGGGCAGAGTTGGTGGAGGCAGACGGCATAGGGAGCTTAGAGGGTCCCTGACAGCTTCATTCTCTTGGTCCTGGCCCCCCTCCCAAGCCCAGATCCTGAAAGTTCTTTGCAGCTTCAACACATTTGCAACCACCAAGCACTGGTTTCAAGCTAGAACCTCCAAATGCCCTGGCCTGGCGAGGGCTGTCAGAACCTGTTTTCCAGGCCGCTTATCTGCCGGAGGTGGAGAGGGGGAAGCTGCTGTAGGCTATCTGCAAAGACAGCTAAAGGTCACGCCTGGACGGTGGGGGCCGGGGGAGTCTGGGCTCCAGAGAGAAAACCTCGGCCTGCACTCTCTAGTTTTAGACCCTGAAAAGAGCCTCGGAAGAAATGAGCAGGACTTTAAAACAAGCACCCCTAGAAAGGTGAGGCTATCGCAGCTGCTCTTTTCCTGGAACATGTCTTAGTAGTTTCCTGCTGAGACCTTTAAAGACAGCTTTTTGTGGGTCTGTTTTTTCTCATTTTCCAAGTACTGGTTAGTATCCATCAACAAAGGCCAGACAACGAACGGGTCTTCTCTGCCAAAGGTAACCCCAGTTACTGCGTAGTGTCAAAGGTGGGAAAATAAGCTTTACGAAGATGGGGTAAAGGGGCTCAGTAAGTAAGCGGGGGGTCTTTTCCCCACTCTCACTGAAATTCTGCAAAGGGTTAATTATCTGCACACAGCTCAGGGCCTGGATACCTAGCACATGGGGAGGTGTTTCATAAATATCCAGGGAAAAAGCACACAAAAGCCAGCCAGCTCGCTCCCCCAGCCTTCATCAGCACCTACACAAACCCATGAACTGAACTCTGCGAACACCAAAGGCCGGGACAGCTAAGCTGCCTCTAGGTGTTGTTTGGGAAAGGCGGCAGCAGTCCTGGCTCCGGCTCTGGGTCTGGTTGCAGACAGACTGCTGGCAGGGCGCGAAGTCAATCCAGAGAGGAGAAGAATGGTGCACGAAGATTGATCACGCCGCTGCTCAAGCGAGATGCGTTGCATCCGGAGCACACTGACCATTTTCTTTTGTGTACATCACACGGGTTACAAGAGACACCTTGCTCAAAACACATTGTTCAGCAGCAACAAAAACTAATAAATGTATCCTCCATAGTTCACTCAGGGTGCCTGACCGCGTAGATTTTGTTGTCACAACAGGACTGGTGTTTCTGTGGGTTTAGTAATCAGCCTCAGTTTGGCACAGTCTGGGAATTAAAAGGAAACCTGATGCGCATTCAATATGTCTCTGTATAACAGGATGCAGTTTTCCTCCTGTGGTTCTAGGGGAAGGCTATTATCAGACATTCCTGGCTTCAGAGACTTCACACATGAGCAGGTAAGGGGTCTTACTGAAGAAACGGGTAAAGTCCATTTTGATGTTAAACAGAAACAGTTGGAGAGAATCATATTCTGCTCTGGATCTGCAGAAAAAACCAGAAGCTCTTCCCAGGGATACGCTGGGAACAATCCCAGAGCTTAGCACGTCTTGGCAGTGGCCCCTTCCTGTCCCTGTAACCTTATCAGTGATGTCCCAGACTTTTCCTTTGCCACATTTCTCTTCCCACCTCTCCTTTGATTCCTTAAGATATTCTGAAAAACAGCTAAGGAGTCCTTGGTGTGAACCTGAACTCTGATTTGGTGAGCTTGGTAAGTGAAGGTGAAGGCCCACTTCCCAACTGAGGTAAAATCACCCAGAAGCTGTTTCTGCAGGTGATTCTGCCAAAGGGTCTTCTCTGCCAAAGAACACAGTGGAGTCTGAGGAGTTGCAAGATTCAGCAATGGCTGCAGCGATGTGGTCAGAGTCTTCTAACTGTGGGTACCTCTGCCAGGGTGGAGTGAGAGGCGGGTGGCATAAACAACATCAGGACCACATCTCTGGCCTCTTCCAGGAGATCTTTCCAAACACGTTCTTGCCCCCTTTATATATGCTTATTTGTAAAAGTTTTCCGTGTATAAACAGAACCAACTTAGTGCTGGTAAAGAGGGGTTTAGCAGCAGAAGATATAGAAGCTGTTTTCATAGCAATCCTCTAGGACCTGAAGAGCAAATTCTTAACTCTACCAATGGAAAAACTGAGGACCAGAGATGTTCAATAACCCACTTTTCCCCAGGAAGATCTGGGGCTGCCTACTGCCTAGTGACAGAGCTGGGGGCGGGGGGAGCCCATGGGTCTTGTCCCTCTGGGATGTGAGTCAGGCAGCAGAACAGAGCAAGTTGGTGCCTGAAGACCCAACACCTGAGTATGTGGTTGTGCGGAATTCCTAACTTAGGACAGCTGTTTGTTATCCATACTGAGACAACTCAGTGATAGTAACAGGACTCAGGAGCATTCTGAACTGATTCTAAACAGTTATGGGGAAATTTTAGTTAGAAAAAGAGTTGGAAATGGAGGAGCAAGTGGGATTGTTTGCTAGGCTTTCATTTTTACACTTTCATTTTCCTTCCACTGTGGAGGAAATGAGATGGTAGGTGGATGTCCGATGCCAGCGGCCAGTTACCGTTACCCCTGCGAGTTTCTGTTTAACTTCACATTTGTGCCCTAGTCCCCAGCTACACCACGGGTCAGCCCAGCAGGCCATGGCCCATGCCTTCGGGAGCAAGGAAGCCCTCACAGACAACCGGGGGGTGAACAGCATGAGGGAGGCACAGAAAAGGGCACGGCAAGGGGAAAAGGTGGTGACCAAGAAGGTTTGTGACCACACACTGTCCAGAAGATTAGAAGAGATCCCTCTTGGGCCACCTGGGAGGCTTAGTTTAGGTGATAAGAAGGCCAAGAGTGGCCCTCTGAAGGGGACCCACGGTGGCAGTCTCATAAGCCAGGGTGTTCTGATAAAAATTTCTGAGTATCTGCACCCCACCACTTGACAGATGTCTTATGCATTTAGAATCTACAGTGGACAACAAAGAATTTTTAAAAACAAAGGGTAGTCCAGGTGGCCAGGTTAACTGTCACGGACAACTAGTGAAAATGATAGCTGCACGCCTTGCTGCCTTTCTCTTGGGGGGTGGATGAGAGGAGGCTCACCTTTGGCAGTCACTGTCACACACCACACTTGACTAAAGACCTGTTCACTCCCCAGTAGGTCTTTCTGTAAAGAAGACAAATTCAGGGGTAGGGAAGCAGAGAAATGAGTCCACAGGAGACAGAGTGACCACAGGCTACTTTCCGGTCACAGGCTACTTTCTTAGCTGCCTGTTGTTCTCCCACAATAGGACAGGAGGCAGAAGTGTGTGTGTGGGGGAGGGTCTGTTTCTTTCCCTGCTTGGTTGATATCTGTCATGTAAGTCGTGTCCAGTCTCTGCTCATTTTCCTTCTCCCTTCCACCCCTGCAGACTTTGGTTTGAGTTTTCCTGATGTTCTGTCCCTGACACAACCCCACCTCCCCAGGAGACACCTTCTTCCTGCCACAGCCCCACACGGGCGGCCCTCTGATTCATGGCTTCGGTTAATGAAAGACACTTTTCAGTGCTGGCTCAAGAGGGACCCTCAGGACAGGAGGGAGCTCCAGGGCCCCAGGGAGCAAGGACATCTCTGATGTAAAGATGAGTGGGGACAAAAGCCTGCCCCTCCCGGAGGAGAGAGCCTGCCCTCTCCCTGTGAGGAGATCCTAGAAGAGGTAATGAGGCTCACCCTCCTGCAAGACAGGGAGAGTTAAGAAAGGAATCTCTATCAATTATGGGATTTATTTCCTGGCCGCAAGTCTACAAGGAGGCTTCATATTTCAAAGATGTGTAAAAGGGATGCATGGGTGGGGGAGAAGGTCTAACTGACAGCTGGCCCAGGGAAATGTCCTGGGGACCTCTTGCTTCCCAGCCCAGAGAGCCTCTAGAGGTAAATGGGAGCAGGCAGGTGGTGTTAGGAGACACCCCAAGTCTGCCTGAAGCCCCTCTGGAGTGCAGGGCAGCTCTGAGACCAGGTGCCAGCCCAGGGGGAGCTTGGAGGGGACATCTGCTTCCAGGGTGCTCACTAGGAAGGTGAATGCCATCTTCCACCAAAGGGGGCAGGGTGAGATTCTTCCTCAGAAAGCAGGTACAGGGAAAGGTACTGTTTGCATTTCCAATGGCTTTAGGTGTGAATTCTTCCTAATTTACAACTTATTACAATTTAGATATCACTAATATTCTCTAGGCAGGAGAAATCAGGAAAGCAGATGTAGTTTTTATTTTTTTTGGTTGCTCTGTGGATTAAACCCAGGGCCAGCGCACTGAAACAGCTAAGTCACTCAGGTGCCCAGGCTGTGCTCTCTATGGTGATTCTCCTGCCCCAGCCTCCCAGAATGCTGGGGTTACAGACCTGTACTACCATGCCTGGCTCAGAGGTGGTCTTTAAGAAGTGACCCTCTTTCCTAAATCTGCTGTCTGGCAGCATCCATGGCGTCTGGCATGCAGTGAGGACAAGGGAAATGCAGGCAAACTGACCTGGAGACAGTGTGAGCTATGGACACACCACGGCCACTGACACTGCCGTGGTGCTTTCCCTCAGAGTTCTTAGAAGTTTAATCAGACTCTCCGTCAGAAAACTTGCTTCTGCTCACTGGGTTTTGTGGGTAAGTGCTTGAGCCTATGCTTTTCTTATCAGCACAGTTACCTCCACTGTCTGCCTGAAAGGGCCCCACCCAAGCCTGTGTGTACCGCATGGTTTTCTTTGGAAGGCCCTGCTGTAACAGCAAAAATTGCTGGGTGTCCTTTTCTAAGTAAACAGGAAATAGCACTCTGCTTAAACAAAAAGAAAGAATCCTTCCCCTCAGCAGAACTGTAATAACATGCCAACGTATATTTCCTGCTCTGGCTGCACTCGGCGCAGGGTCTGCTTCTTACAACAGCCTTCTTCTTAGTGTCTGCACCTTCATGGAGCCGCACCCCGGGGAGCCTGGCTGGTTAGGACATTTCAGCAGTTCTTCCACTGGTACTGTGGGGGAAGCAGCATCACAGGAAAGACAACAATGCATGAAAAGTAAACCTGTGCGAAACATATGGGAGGGGGAGATGATACGCGTCTACACGTCAAGTCACAGCAACAGGTTGTGTTCTGATATCTGACCACGTTTCTAGGTACGAAAAATCCGAAGCCTTGAGTCTATCCAGAGACTCGACCCAGGGCACGACGAGGAAGTGCACAGATGTGGCTTTTGCTCCCGTCACATCAGGACCTGGGTTCGTGTGTCAGGCAGGCGCAGCCCCACGAGTCCCCCGCACACGAGCACGGTAGAGGCCAGCAGGATGGGGATGGCTTTGGTGATGCCCACCAGGGAGCCAAATATGAGGTTGCCCAGCACGGCCGCCGCCTTGCAGAGTGCGTTCAGGAAGCCGAAGCCCGTTGCCCTGCGGGGAAGAAACAGCAGCAAGGTTCAGAAATGACTCCGCACTGCAGCACCAGGCGCACTTGTTCTGTACCAGAACCATCAGACTCGGCTCTGGCAAGCATGAAATGCTCTTTAGCAAATCTGGGCCGGCAAAGCCCAGCTGTTGGTGTCGTCTGTTCCTGCTGCCTTCTGTGGTCTTTCCTAGTACTCTTTGGATTCTTATTCTGACCATAGGTTCCCATTTACCGTGAACAGCAAGAGAAAGGGGACTTCAGAGCCTAAGAGAAGTGTCTTCTCTTTTGGCCCACGCGTACTGAAAAAAAGGCTCTCTTACATCAAAATTAATCTTACCTCATTCAAGCCTTGCACTCAGGAGAAAAGCAGGCTCCAGGACGGTTCATAGCAAGAGGCGTCTATCACACCCTGGCTCAGAGTGAGGGAAGGTGGACCACTGCCTCCAATCCCAGTGGGAAGGGGGAGATCAGGAGAGTCTCACCAGTGACTCCTCCGCTGGGGGTGTGGCTTTGTTGGTAGAGAACCTTGACCTGTGCTGAGCTGGCAGCTACCAATGAGCTCCTAGAAGGAATTGGGCTGGAGACCTAGAGATATTGTTTGCTGGCTTCTCTGCCTCCAAGATATGTGTTTGTGTGCACAGGGTACCGAACCCAGAGCCTCAAGCATGCTAAGCCTGTGCTCTACCACCGAGTTCCAACTCCAGCCCCCACATCCCGTTTCTTGACAGCCTTTGGAAAAAACAAAACCTTTTACTTTTAGTTTTCTTTGCAGGGTGGGGTAGGGCAATGGTAGTCCTGGGGATTGAACCCAGGACCCTGTGTATACCAGGCAAGCTCTGTACCACTAAGCCACCCCAGCCCTGTTACCTTTAGTGCACATGAGTGATTCTATGGTGGTCTTCTTGGCAAGAGGCTAAGTTTTGCTCACAGTTCTATATCTCACCTGAGATAATAAGAGTGCAAATTTCCTTCTGACTTTATGCCATTTCCCTTCTTCTTGGCTTTCCCTGGGTGTCCATAAGTATTAAATGCAGGACAATTTTGGATAGCTTCTCTTTCTCACCACAAAGAGAACCGCATCTTACATACTTCAAAATTAAGCATTTAGCGTTTCTTTGATGGGTACATTTGTGTGGGTTTTCCTCTGGCAAGTTCTGCAACTGCTCATCACCAGTTGTCCTATTCTTGGTGCTGTTTCCGGTTTTGTGTAGATGCCCTCAATCTCAGAGACTCATGTGGTTATTACCCCTCCTGCTGTCTCCACACTGCAGGAAGGGGTCCGCCCTCCTCACAGAGCAGCCCGGGAGCAGTCCCTGCGCGAACACCTGCTCTGGCAGAAACACAGCTAGCAAAGGGGAGCAGCATCGAGTTCCTCTTTTGGCCAAGACACCCAGAAAGCAGACGGAGCCAGCTCTGCAGGGTGGCAATGCCGCCAACTGTCCAGAAGGAGGAAGGACAAAGTGACATCTCCAGGGACAAGAAACCAGGCCTTCTGGAGAAGAGGGTTAGCTAACTATATTTTTTTCTTAAGAAATAGACTGGTAATACCAATAGCTACCAAAAAGATAAGGAGATTAATAGACTGATGACTATTTTTAAGTGAAATTGCTGGGGGCTGTGTTCGGAACCAAAGGAGACTTAAGTAGAGTGACAACATGGTCCCTCTCCTCCCACTCCATGGAGAGGATGCCACCGGGCTGAAATGGCTTTTTGCAGCCCCTCTAACACACTGTCTCTCTGTCTCTCTATCTCTGTCTCTGTCTCTGTTTCTCTCTGTCTTTCTCTCAGGATGATTAAACTGGGGGCCTTGTGCATACCAGGCAAGTCAGTTTAGGTTTACAATAAAAAAACGTTCATTGAGCTCACATGGGCTCCTGTCGCCCCTATGAACTTCAGGAATTGCTGCAATACATACACTAAAACTGATTCACACACACACACACACACACACACACACACACATACATACACGCATGTGTGCGTGTTCACATGTGCAAGTACTGGAGACTGACAGGACCTTGCCCATGCCAGCCAAGTGCTCTCTACCACTCAGCTTTACCTGCAAGCATTTCTTAAACTTTTATTTTGAGGTAAGGTCTTGCTCAAGTGCCTAGGCCTGCCTTAAATTCACCATGCTCTTGCCTCAGCTTCCCAGGTAGCTGGGATTACAGATGTGCATCACCACACCCAGCTGTGACGAGCCAGTGTAGGTTCATTAACACACTGCTGGTATGAGGGTTCACTCTTGGTGGTGGATCTCCCATGAGTTCTGACAAATGCGCGGTGACATATGTCCATCATCGGGGTCACACAGAATAATAGACCTCTCCAAGTTCGGTGTACCTGCCCTCCTCCAGCTCCTGTCAGCACTGATCTTTCTGTTCCACACTGTCTCTTGCCTCAGAAGGCCATTTAGTTGAAATCATACAGCGTGAAGCCTGGACTGGCTTCTTTCACTTTTTAAAAACTCCACTCCAGCTTCTAGATTCCAGAATCATAAACTCTCACCCACATCTTACCGTGTGTTCCCAGGAAAAGGCCAGAGTGTTTGCTGCTGATAAGAAAAACGAGAACTTTCTCCCTTCACAAAGCCATGACCTCTTGTATCACTCCAGCAGGCAAAAAGATGCAGGCAGCTATCCCTTGTGTCACCAAAACTGTGACCAAGGATGGGATGACTTCCCAAGACACATGGGCAGCAGGACAGACACAGGCATTGGAAGCGTCTGCTGTACGAGCTTTTACAAAGACCACCAAGCCCTTACTGCTTATGGGTTTCCCTCCTTCCAAGCAGAGGCAGAACTTGAGATGACCATCGGGGCAGAGCACACAGCCTCCTTACAGTAGCCTGGCACTCAAGAAAATGTGCCTGCCCCTTCCTCAGACGACGCAGGATTCCCTCAAATGTCCCCAGCATGCCCACTGCCTCCATCTGAGGCAGACATACATTAGAAAAGTCACTCACACAGGGACTCTACCCCAGGGCACCTGTTTTTAGTACAGTAAAAAGTTTTCAGTGCATGACTCTCTGTTTTTACTTAAAGTAAGGCAGATGAGGACAAGTCACCTTGTGCTCATAAAGTCTTTTGCGGGTGAGGAGCTCAGAGCTTGCAAAGCCCCCTTTACCTGCTCCTCCCCAGCAGAGTGAGTGCCTGCATTTTTCTCAGATGAGAAGTATTTTCCTGCCTCTCTTCCCCAGCAAATAGCACAGAGGAAAAATAAGACCACCTACTGTCCTTCTATAAGCTTCCTCCCTCACTCCTCATCTCCAGGAAGAATCCTTACTTCTCAATTGTTGTTAAGCTGCTTAAAATGTTTTAATGAGTGCCAGGCGTCGTGGCGCACGCCTGTAATCCCAGCACTCGGGAGGCTGAGGCAGGAGGATCGTTGTGAGTTCAAGTCCAGCCTGGGCTACAAAGTGAGCTCAAGGCCAGTCTGAAGTCCATAGCGAGACCCTGTCTCAAAAAGACCAAAAAAAAAAAAAAATAAATAAAAAAATAAATGTTTCAATGCACCCAGGCAAGGTGCTGTACTGTCATCCCAGCACTTGAGAGACTGAGGCAGGAGGATCACGGGTTTGAGGCCAACCCCAGTTATGCAGTGAGTTCAAAGACAGTCTAGACTATATAGCAAGACCCTGCCTCAAAAAAAGAGAAAAAAAGTACAGATTCTCAAACAGTCTTGTGTTGCTCGGGAGCCCCGTTGCGCTCCATGTGGTGGCTGCTCCTTGGCCACGAGTGCCTGAGACCTACACGGGGGGTGGTTTGTGGCAGCGCTCAGCTGAGCTGGGATGTGGCCACGGGGCATCCCCTCAGTGCAGCTGGTCAGTGGCTCCTTCCTTGGGGGTTCACACTTTGGTGGGGTCTGCTTTACTTATGTTGCTTTCTGCTTCTCCTGGAAGAGGAGGCTGCTGGCCTCCCCTCCATAGAGCGAGGACAGCACGGTCATCAATCACATCAGCAGATCCCTTTTTGGTTTTTCTGGCCCGAGTGCAAAACCACCCTCCTGGGTTTGGTTTTGTTTTTGTTTTGGAAGAAGAAAGGGACTTGAGCAGCGCTGGCACTCAGAAGAGTGCTGGCATGCAGTGGGCATCCTGTGAGCCTTGGCTATCATTTTAAACATTGGCGGAGTATTTGCCCCTCTGACTCATGAAATTATTAGAGAAAGCAAAATTAAATGCTGCATTTTGAAAAGCCCTGAAACGGGCCAGATGTGGTGGTACATGCTGTGATCCTAGCACTCTGAAGGCTGAGGCAGGAGTGTTACCTCAACCTGGAGGTCTCCCTCGTCTCAAAATGCAAAAAAGAGAAAGAAACGACATAGACCCAGACTCAGCTGCTAATTTGCCTGCTACAGAGTAAGATGTGAGCATTCCCATCAGCTCCAACTTTGGAAGAGGAGCTTTTTCTGGATAACCTTGTCAAATGATTGAAAGAAGTTTGGAAAGAAGCACAGAGGACTCAGCATGGGGCATTTCGCAAAGTATGGGCAGCCTCAAATAAAAAATGCGTCCGTGATCTAAAGAGTCATCTGGGGCTAGAGGGGGCACGGCTAGTGGCACTGCACTTGCCTGGCACGCAGGACACCCTGGGTTCTGTCCCAGCACTGAAAAAGAATCCATGAGGAAGTCAGTTTCTTGAAATAATGAATTTTATGCATCTCACAAACAACGTTGTACCTGAAGACCAGGTTTCCATGCTAAGGTGAAAGAACGGTTTTACACTGAGTCCACCTGAGCTACTGGCCTGAGACACACGCAACGCTTTGACTGCTTTTGTTTTGTTTTTGTGGAACTGGAGATTGAATCCGGGGCACTCTGTCAGTAAGTCACATCTCAACTCTCTCTAGCTTTTGTTTGGAGACTGGGTCTCACTAAGTTGTCCTGGTTGGCCTTGACCTCTGGCCTTGAACTAGCAATTCTCCTGCCTCAGTCTCCCAAACAGCTGGGATTCCAGGTGTGTGCCACCACTCTTGGCTCCAATATTTGATGATGAGCCAATCTGTC